TCTTTTCTTTTTTTCCTCCCCTGGGCACCAGACAGTTTGGGACGTTTTGACATGTTGAGCTTGTTGACCCATCAAAAAACGACACCGTGTAGCAGGTAAAGTCGGATTATTTGGAAGAGAGGGGAGGCGTCTTAGGCAAGTAGGCTATATTATTATTATTATTATTACTACTACTACTACTACTACTACTACTTAGTAGGCTTTGCTGCTATGCAGTTAAATTAATGTGGTGGGCTTATTCGTTTCTGAAGTCTAGTTTTAAGAATAATGGAAGTTACACTTTTTTTTCTTCCTCCATTTCTGGTGCCCCCTGGATGTACGGCGCCCTTAGCATTGGCCTATACTGCCTATGCCACGGGCCGGTCCTGCAACCAGTTAGTCTTTACATGTGATCCAGAGCATCCAAGCGGACACGCTGATATGCTTTTGCTGCAATTGCCCTGGCCTCCTTCAGAGGGAGCCCCAGTGTCCAGCAGCACAAAACCAGGCAGCAGCACCGGAGCAGTAGCAAGTGCGGTGCTGTTGACCTGAGCAGAGACTTTGTGCCGCCGTCGTGAGGAAACACCGCGCAGATGAAGGCACCGTCGCGGAAAACTATCCCGCATTTTTCCATTTGATTATCGTTGCAGACCAGACAACACCCTCCTTCTGCCTTCCTGTCTCTACCGGGATCGCACCGTTGCTGTAGGTCTTTAATTCGGGGTCTTGCCTGTTTTTCCTCCGGGAGGCTGAATGGAAGCAGCAGCCGAGGGAGCGGCCGGACTCTCGGAGGCCAGGGACGGGAGCCCGCTATCCGGGGCCACAGCATCCGATGATTCGGACATGGTGGCTGGAGTTAGCCACGGGATGGACACCGCTGACATGGGTACGGTGTGACCTATCAAATAAACCCTTTCTGAATGTTTATTCCACTATCCTCACATTCATTTCAGTGTCCGTGCCTGATGCTGTCACCTGAACCAAAAGTCCCGACTCATCTTAGCTAGCAAGAATTTGGCAAGCTAGGCTATAGCTAACTCAGCCTAATGGATGTGGGAAGCAGATGAAGCCCGGTAGTACTAATATATTCTTTATTGTATAACATTATTCTAACGTTATATTTACTTAGGTACCGTCGTGACTAGTCAGTAACACAGCAGGCGTGGCTAAGAAATTGATAGCCAGATGTTTGAGAGAGGAATATGGTGCATGGTACAGAAAATAGTAGCCTGTAGCCTAAATCTTTGTGTTTACCTGGCTCAGCAGGTAATGCAATATCAGGGGTGTGGCGAGGATTTCTGACTACCTCCTCCCCCGGAATAACATGTGTCCCCCTCCCTTGTTTTTTTTTTTTTAAGTAAGACTATTATTATACATTTTTCATGGGCCGTTTCCAGCTTTACACACATATAATTACCACCACCTGTCACACACATGCTGTATATTATTCATTGTGTTTCAGAAAAATTAGTTAATGCCTTAATGTGGGTTTGTTACCATCTTGGTATTTTTCCTGGAGCCAGAAAATCCATATTTTGGCAAGGAGGAGAGTCCCAGTGGCACTTGGCAAGTAGACAAATTTTAAGAATGTTTCTTTTTATTTGATGCTAAGACACACATCAGAGGATGTGAAACGGATTTGGTTTATAACCGACATTTTAACTTGTCATAGTAGGAAAAGCACAGATGTTAGTGAGTACATTGATGACATTACAGTATGTTATATAAGGATGGCTCTGTTATATTCAAGTGTCCCAGTAAGCCATGACAGTGAGTCAACATGCAGGACCTTGAAACTGAAGCAGCTGAATGGACTTTGCCGTCATTATTTTATCATTTACACCTTTTCCTGCTGTCACATGTCAAAATTTCATTTGTGAAAAAGGCATATTAACAAATGGGATAAATGATGCCGAATACACCAACCCACAATAATATTTCATCCTGTGTATGTTATATATTGAGACAGTATATTGAGATAACATGAAGTGAGAGACTGTCAACACAGACTTCTATTGGACACTGGAGGAAATACTTCAGACACAAACAATGGTTTCAGCATCCATCAAAGGTGGTTGCTGCTTTCACCCTACTAGTGATAGCACAAACGGTGTTAAGTTAGCGAGCTGGATGTTGTACAGTAGTTGTACCTTGGTCACTGTCCACGCTCTGTGGCAGGTGCTATTGAGGCTGTTGTGAGCACCACATCACAAATGTCATTAGAAGGAGGTGTGTACAAGCTGAAACTGCCATCACCAGGAAACAGGTGAGGTAGTAATGGTGATAATATGAATGTTTTAACAGTCTCTCCGTTTACAGTTTGTGCATTGAATAAATAAAGGGCAACGCACACTGGCAGTGTGTGACGCCCTTAAAAACACCACCACCCATAATCCATGTCAGAAGATTGAAATACTAAAAAACTCACCCATCTTGGTAGTCCTGTGCTGAATTTGCACTGCTCCCAGTGTGTGTTACCATGTGATGTGTCACCCCCAATGTGTCTTGCCCTTAACTGTTAGCTGCTTTGTCACTGCTGTGTTGGTGTCATAAGGCTACAGGCTGCATTTGTTGTGTGTGTGTGTGTGTGTATCAGTGATGAGAAATGAGGGAGCTGTTGCTTAGACTGTGGACATACTTTTGTCCCAGGATGATTAAGAAGCATGCATATATGAAAGTAAGGTTTCTACGTTTTCTTTTTTTAAATTTTGTGTGTGTTTAATTGTGGCAAGATTCTTTGCGAGAGAGGTTAAACGATAAGTGCTCTTTAGATCCAGTGATGCTCTGTTTTTAGAGTTAGTCACATTTTGATAGATTGCACTCATGTGTATTAATTTTGCATTTAAAGCATTTGAAACCAACTTTTTGTTAAGGTAGCTCAGACATGGAAATGAACGAGCAATAAAGACGGATCCAGATAGCTGGCTTCGGTGCAAATAGTGACAGATTTATTTACAGTGTAAGTCAAAGTGCAATAAACAGGTAGGTGCTGAATGGTAAGGAATAACCGGGTGTTGATCTGAGGCAGAGAAAAACAGTCACTGGTGAGATGGATGGTTATGGATCGGGCTGCGGACACTGGGGTCACTCCTGAGCTGGTCGTGGTTGAAGCGATGATGGCTGAGGAGACAGGAGCATGCATAGATAGTTAATGGAGACTGTGCAGTGACCTGTATGGTGGAGACCGGTAGGGTTGAGTAGTCCCAGGGTCCAGAGGAGAGAGGTCCGTAGTCGAAGACAAAAAGAACGCAGGAGCAAGGGGTAAAACGTAATAGTTCAAAAGACGATATAACTGGCAAACTGGAAGAAACAGCAAGCAAAAGGGCCTGAAAATAGGGATCGAACTGGCAAGGGAGTGAACGGTGAGCAGGGTATAAGTAGGGAGGAAACTAATAAGGTGCAGCTGGTGATGATTAGGGGAAATAGGACAGGTGTGTCAGATAGTGTGATCAGGGTTAGGGAGCAAAACTAGAGTGAGAAAAGGAAGAGAGGAAGGTGCAGCCGGGCAAACCTGACACTTTTCATTAACAGCTTTATCTAAGTACTACTTAAAACATATTGCATTTGTTCAGCTAATTGAACATTATAATAAAAGACTACATCATCAAAATAGAGACGTGTGCTACTGTGCAATTGACAGATTTGTTTGATATATACTTTTGTTTTCTGTGCTTTTAGTCACACCTTTGCTTTTTAAACTGTTATTCATGTAAATTAAGTAGCCGTCCCTGGTAGGCTAGTGGTTAAGGCGCAGCGCTGTCGCCGCTGCACCTCGGGTCTAAATCAGGGTTGCATCAGGAAGGGCATCCGGCGTAAAACACGTGCCAAATGTCAACATGCGAGTCGTCAGTGTGACGATTCGCTGTGGTGACCCCTAAATGGGAAAAGCTGAAAGTGACTTTCTATTCATGTAAATTAAGTCAGCCACAGTTAGTGTTTATACAGTTACAAACACATGAAGGGTCAGCAGGTGGAATCGGAGGGAGACAGACGTCAGGGAGATGAGGCCACACTGCCTGGACCGTGCCTTCTGATCACCACAACACAGTCACACCTTAGCAGTTAGTCTAACAAACTCACTAGTAACACATACAGTACCTACAGTGAATGGTGGCCTGGGGGCAAAGCTGAAATTAGCCCATCTCTGTTCAATAAGTTCATGCTTATTAATGGATGTTTTGATCAGTGACTCCTACTGGCTTTTTACTCACAAAACTGAGCATAGGTGTTACTAATGCATTAGTTTCACTTCAGCCTCCCTCCTCTGAGCCTCAGTTGCTGTCTGCTCCGTGTGTGGAGGTCTGGGTTTGCAGTTCCGTTTGCTGAAACCATGAACCAAGAGTCTGAAAGTTTGTGTCACAATTTCAGTTCTGAGTTGTTACACCCCAAGGGGAAATCTACACTGAACTCTGCCTATTACAGTTTGTACAGGGTGGGCCATGGAAAAGTAGCCTGCCTCCAATACGGTCTCGAGTACACGGTGCTACTTTTCGGTGGCCCACCCTGTATAAGGAAATAGAGGTTACAGTGCTGTTGCCTCACAGCAAAAAATTTCCGGGTACGAGCCCGGGCTGACCTGGGGCCTTTCTGTGCATGTTCTCCCTGTACCTGCATGGGTTCTCTCCGGGCACTCCAGCTTCCTCCCACAGTCCAAAGACATGCAGCTTAGGTTAATTGGTGACTCTTAATTGCCCATAGGAGTGAGTGTGGGTGTGTGTGGTTGTTTGTCTACATGTCAGCCCTGTGATAGACTGGTGACCTGTCCAGGGTGGACCCTGCCTCTTTCCCAGTGTCAGCTGGGATTGGCTCCAGGCCCCCGGCACACTTTTCAGGATACAGTAAACAGTGGATGGATAGAATAGAGGTTACTATATTCTCAAGGCAGAACTACAGCAGAGTTGCCCCTGATGGCGGCACGTACGCACGCAGCGGCCCAAGGCCCTCGGCTCCAGTCAGAACTGCGTTGTACGTGTTACAATACCAATTAAATAAAGCTTCTTCTAATGTTAATCTAGTAAGCAACAGCTCTATGCTACTGATATTCTCTGTCATAGTCTATATCAGTGTTTGAATTAACTGATTAAAACTGTGCTGTTTGCAGTGAAATTTTATCTGTCTGAACACGTGCCGCTGTTTTGAATTTGCTGATCCTATTCTTTGTATTGTCACATCGTAGTATACGCTACCACTCCCACGCAGCATCTGTCAGTGAAGTGTCTTAAAGAGATAGTCCATTAAAGGCCATTCAGCTGAAATGTCGCAGGGACTGTGTTGATTTCTATAACAGTGTAATGACACTGTGTTATTGGCACTGGTTGGTAAGAATAAATGGAAATGTCAGTTCGATTCAATCTCACAGGCTCCTGCAGATGCTAGATGTTCACATAACACATCAGAGTGTTCAGCCCGAGAGCCTGGTTAATGTCGGACCCTCTGTATTTGTAATTGCAGGCTGCACTGCTCAGTTCAGCATCTGAATGTGTGAATACAACAGTGTGTGGGTGTCACAGCTGGCTGTTCATTAGCTGTCAGAGCATTTAGTCCCATTCAAAGCTCCTCATCTTCAGGCACTCATAATTTGTCCCTATAGTCTCCTGTCAGCACAACAGTATAAATCCCACTTATCTTCTCCTCACACTCGCAGTCAAGTCCTCTCACCTTCAGCCTGGTCTTTCTTGTCTACATCCTCTCCTCTTACCCCCAAGTGAGTTACATCTCATCTGCCTCCTCCTCTGTGAGCGATCCCCTCAGCTCAGCCACTCATTTGTCACTGCCCCTCAGTCCTCCCCACTCGCTGTTTTGCTCTGCTCTCTGTTTTAGGCCTGGTCCATCAGAACTGCTGACAGAAGCACAAAGAGTGGTTGCCTCCTGTGGACTCTTACCATCCATCTGCTTCCTCCTTATTCTCCCTGCAAGGTCTCTTTCTCTCCCTCCCTCTCTCCTGTTGTGTGTGCCAGTATCAATGTGTATAATGGTAAGCCAGTTCACAGAGCTTGTATAGGATGCCAGGTTGTTTGATGTCATGTTATTTAATGTAGACGATGATGCAGTTTAGTTACGTGCTACATTCTGCTGATTTTATCTGCAAGTGGGGTGTGTGTGTGTCACAGTAGCTATTTTAAACAGTCACCACAGCGAGGCAGGAGCATTGTGTTTGCTGCTCTCTGTCCTTGTGCTTGACCAGGGTGTTTAAAATGATTTCTCCACGCCGGCGATAGTTGTAGCCTGCATGATGTTTTTGGGTTGTCGGTCCCATTCTCATATCTTAGGAATGCCTTGAGAGGATTTCTTTCATTTTGGCACAAAAGTCCACTTGGGGTCCAGGATTAACTGATTAGATTTTGGTGCTTAAAGGTCAGAGTTCAACGTTACAGTGACCTCAGTCTGTGCCATTCTTGTGAACGTGATATCTCAGGAATGCACTGAGAGGATTACATTTACACTTAATAGCTTTTATTAAATTTGTTCAAAGTCTTCACTTGAAGTAAACTACAACTTGACTAGTTGGTGGGGGCATGCTGCCATGAAATTCTAGTTTTCTGAGTGATACCTGTTGAAAGAGTTAGTGAGGGAAAGGGTAAATAGAGGAGGGAGGAGAGACATAAAGACTTTAAGGTTGTACCTTCTTCTGTTGTGAATTTGCAACTGTAAAAGGCTTTTTTATGTGTCAGTGCCCTGGCTTCCCTCAGAGAGGAAGCAAGACCTGCTGTTTTCAATTAAGAGAGTTACTGTGCAGGTTATTATTATTTGATAATCAGCATTAGCATACTCGGACAGGAGCATGATACTGTCAAACGTATCTGAACAATCCTAACAGAATTTGTGGTGATTTCAGACAAGAAACCATTTGAGTTGCGCCTGCTTGGAACTTCAGTAGTTGCACCTGCTTTGGTACAGAGGAAATGAGATGCAAGATTAGATAGTCGCCTAATATCAGGGGTGAAGCTGGATGGCTGCAGAGCTGGCACTGGTACCATAAATGTGAATATGTACTGTATGTGTGTGTGTGTGTCAGCCCTGTGATATACTGGTGGCCTGTACCTTGTGCGCTCCCCTGTATCACATTTAATGGATGCTGAGATAATCTGCAGATAAGCTTGTTAGAAAACTGAAGAAAGTGATTCATTGCTATTAACCACCAACAAATTTTAAAATTTTTTTTACAGGCTTGTGTTGAGTCCGACTGCTGCCGCTTTTAAAAGAGCATAACTGCAGTTTAACAAGATACCTGACCCATGTAGAGGCATGAGAGAGATGACCTCTGCTCGTGCTTAATACCAGACTTTCTCACGCTCCCCAATGGGATTTTGCTGCACTAAATCCAGGAAATAATTAACAGATTTATCAGCTAAGGAAAATAATATTTGCAGCCATATAAAATATGTAAATTTCATCAAATTTATTTATTTATTGCTTCGGGCTTAGGGTTGTTGTCTTATTGTAATTGATAGTTCTTTATACTTTTATCAGACCTTTGTGTACAGGGTCAGTGAATAGTTCAGACTGCAGTTGTAAAAGGTGAAACTGTGTAGCTATGAACTTTAGATTCTCACTGTAGTTTTAGAATAAAGCCTTATTTACAGTCTGGCTCTACTTGAAGCACATGGCAAGAGATGCTATAGGGTTTATGTAAGTTTAATAGGCAGTGAGAGAATTCATTCATTTATTAAACAGTGTGGACCTGGTTGGCAAAGTCTGTCTCTCTCTCCTGGTACAAGTAATACTCCACTCCTGTCACAGCTCACATATAATCAGTAGACATCTCTCATTCATGCATATGCATGTAAGGAAGGTTTGTGCAGATAATGAGAGGCAATATGGTCAGTGTGGGTGACTGTTGGGTTTATTACTGAAAGTTTCACACATCTTGCACAGAAGCTGGACATTGTGATGGACAATAAAGTTTGCTTTGTTCATTCTGCTTCCCTGTTACAAACCTTTCTTCACATAAGAAACATTACTATTAATAATGTGTAATATTTTAATATGCAATAAAATTCCTTGGCCTGCATTGTATCATAGCCTTAGTAAATGTTACATTACTATTGATAAATAATGACAGCTTCTATGTCAATATACATATTTTTATTTATTTTTCTGAGCTTGCTGCTGTCTACGTGTTTTTCACAGTATAATTGTGTTTCTAAGCTAAGCTTCACTTTGCACTTATGGATCAGCTTTGAATGCATAACTACTGCTTCCTTGGATGCTAATTACATGTATATTGTAAACACAGACTGAGAGAACGGCGCAGTGAAAATCTTCCTCTGCTGTTATGTCCGTAATTATGACTCCCGATGTCTTCAAGGCTGTTATACCACAGGTTTAAGGTCATGTTGAGCTCAAATTGTAACATGTTCAGCTCCAAAAGCCCATCAGTGTATGACTATTGCTTTTCTTGCACTGCAGGGAAGTGACTTTCTTTGCTACTTTCCAGGCTCTGTGCACTGACACCTTCTGTTTCCTCTCTCTTTTGACGGTCTTTGGGCAGCCTGGAAAAGAAGACTCATTTTTATACAGTCTCCAGTGAAATCAGCAGCTGCAGCCTGTGCTATTTGCTGCACTGAATTTTACAGAAGGCCAAGGCTCTGTCTGTCAGTTAGTCAGTTTTTTATGTGTATTCATGTGGACCTGAAGTAGCTGTGGAAGGGATTTCTCTTTGAAACCACAGGCAGTGAAGCCTTTCATAACGGCTTCTTGAAACTTAATGTATGACAGGTGCAGAAAACACAACTCATGCTGTACTTTCAGGTTTAGATCGCCTACCTGACTGACACAAGAATTTGAGTTTATGCTTGAGTTTCACCTCTGTAGTGGCATTTACATTTTCAGGTGTTGAGGTGTGTAGTTATTTATAGGCTGGAACGAGCAGCAGTGACCTACACTATTGTGCACCCATGTTCCTACTGTAGCTAGAACAGATTACCTTCGACTGAGTCACCACTGGGAGAAGATGCTGCTCTCAGCAATAAGAGATCTGCTTACAGGAATCACACTGATCACCAGCATGTTTATTTGTATTAATGTCACACCGACTGCCCGCTGTCCTCTCCTCTCTTCCTCAGTCCGTAAAAGGGTGTTTTTTTCCTTTGGCTGATAGCTTTCACTGCAGTTTGTGGATCAGCAAGAATAACTAAGCTCTGTCCTGATCTGGGAGTATAGTTATGAAAGCACGCTGAGATTGTTTCGTAAGAGTTTGAGTCTGGGCAATCCACAGTGGAAGCCTGGAAAACTGCACATCTGCACGAGAGTGTTAGATCTGTGTGATAGATGTCAATCTGTGTGGCATGCTGTTTTACAACTCAACAGTTGTCCATCCATCCATTTTCCTCTGCTTATCCGGAACCGGGTCGTGGGGGCAGCAGTCTAAGCAAAGATGCACAGACTTTCCACTGTCTCTCTCTAGACACTTCCTCCAGCTCCTCCGGGGGAATGCCAAGGTGTTCCCAGGTCAGCCGAGAGACATAGTCCCTCCAGCTTGTCCTGGGTCTTCCCTGGGGCTTTCTCCCGGTGGGACATGCCCGGAACACCTCCCTAGGAAGGCGCCCAGGAGGCATCTGACACAGATGCCCGAGCCACCTCAGCTGGCTCCTCTCGATGTGGAGGAGCAGCGGTTCTATTCTGAGCTCCTCCCGGGGGACCGAGCTCCTCACCCTAACTCTAAGGGAGCGCCCCACCACCCTGTGGAGAAAGCTCATTTCGGCCACCTGTATCCGAGATCTTGCTCTTTCAGTCATGACCCAAAGCTCATGACCATAGGTGAGAGTTGGAACATAGATCGACCGGTAAATCAAGAGCTTCACCTTGCAGCTTAGCTCCTTCTTCACAACGACGAACTGTTACATCGACCACATTACTGCAGAAGCTGCACCGATCCGCCTGTCAATCTCCTGTTTGATCCTTCCCTCACTCGTGAACAAGACCCCAAGATACTTAAACTCCTCCACTTGAGGCAGGAACTCCCCACCAACCCGAAGGGAACAAGCCACCCTTTTCCAACTGATAACCATGGCCTCGGATTTGGAGGTGCTGATTCTCATCCCAGCTGCTTCACATTCTGCTGCAAACCGCCCCAGTGCACACTGGAATTCCTGGTTTGATGGAGCCAACGTCATCTGCAAAAAGTAGAGATGAGAAGCATACGAGCCCAGTTGGTGAAATGGTATCGTGACCCATTGATCCACTTGAAGCCTCCCTGACAAGACAGAACATAGAAGCGTTAAAGACGAGTGTTTTACTGACTCTTCATCACCACATGGGTTTCAGCTATCACTCGGCGTCAGGCAGGTGAAGAGTCAGCTGCTTACATCGTGCCAGGCTCCAATCCAGTACTGCAGCTGCTGAGGGTTGGTAGCGTACATGGTTCTTACCACTGCCTTCAGGTCGTACATGTCACTGACTGACACCAAGTGACCTTTAAATCCACCCACTGTGTACTTGTTACAGACTGCCTGAAATGAACATAGAGAAGAAGTAGAGTCAGCTGTCACTGTCGCCTCATCAAGTTTACATCAGTAAAAGTCCCAATACAACGATGTAAAAATACTCCAGTACGAGTTAAAGTACTGCATTAAAACCCGTTCAGTACACACATGTTCTCAGGATCCTGAACAGTACAAGTACACAAGTATTCTCAGCTCTGATACCGTTGCCTTACCTGTGTGACTGTGTGAACAGGTCAAAGGTCACACTTCCTGTGCATGTCTCACCTCAGCAGTGTCAAAGTTAACATCGGATCCAACTCACCACCAGGTGGTGATCAATTGACAGCTCCGCCCCTCTCTTCACCCTAGTGTCCAATACATACGGCCGGAGGTCAGATGAAACAACCACAAAGTCGATCATCCGGCCTAGGGTGTCCTGGTGCCACATGCACTGGTGGACACCCTTATGGATAAGGATAAGGATAATCACCATTATTGGCCAAGTATGTTGCACACAAGGAATTTGTGTCCAGTACAGAACCGATGGCAGCCATCTGTGGCGCTACTTCAACTGTTGGCTCCAACCATCGGGGGGTTCAGTGTCTTGCCCAAGGACACTTCGACACATGGACTGCCGGCACCGAGATTTGAACATTCAACCTTCTGGTTGGGAGATAACTGCTCTACCCACCGCACCACTGTCACCTCCCAAAATATGCTTGAACATGGTGTTCGTTATGGACAAACTGTGACTAGCACAGAAGTCCAGTCACAGAACACCACTTGGGTCCAGATCGGGGGGGGCTATTCCTCCCAATCACGCCCCTCCAGGTATTACTGTCATCGCCTACGTGAGCGTTGAAGTCCCCCAGTAGAACGATGGAGTCCCCAGTCGGAGCACTTTCCAGCACCCCTCCCAGAGACTCCAAGAAGGCCCTACGAGGGGCATATAGCCCCTGACAACATAGCTCCTAGAATTACTCAGGTACTCAAACCCCTTCATGACAATAAGGTGGCGGTTCAAGGAGGGGCTCAACAGTTGTTTGTTATGAAAGTCAAAGATGTTTTTATCTGCTTAGATATGGCAAGAGAAAAAAAAATCATAGTATATTCCTATGCAACCACTAATGTTGCTAGAGTTTTCCTCTGTGTTTTAGACAAGCCAGCATATAAAGTTACTAGTTTGTCTTAACAGTTGTAACAAAATCTCATTTACAGTAATAATACAGCTGAAACTTCTGATTATTTTCAATATCAGTTAGCTTAATGAATTGATTTATTATTACAAGATAACTGATTGAGTCAGCAGCAGTTTTGATAACATAATTTAGTTCATTTTTAAGTAAAATGTCTTTCTTTGTTTCTCCAGATTGACGGTTTGCTGCTTTTCTCTGTTTTATGTCATTGTAAAACACAATATCTTGTGTTTTAGAATGTTGGTTGGAAAAAACAAGATAATTTTAAGACATCACTTTGGCCTCTGGGCGAGATTGTGATGAATATGATTCAGTTTTCTGTCATTTTAATCCATAAATCGAGAAAACAGCAGGCAGATTGGTGGATAAAAAATAACTGTAATGTTCAGGTCTATAGTGTTTAAACAATTTTTTTATATTACAGCTGTTTGACTGTATGCAGACTCTATTGGGCATTGTTCATCACCTACCTCCAGGCTAAATGTCTTGAAAGGAAGGTTTTTTTGACCCAGCTGAAAGCAAGAAGCTTTTTATTAATCCTGCTTGCTTGCCTGTTGCTGTTGATCAGAACGGATGACTTGGCAAAGTGAAACGCTGTCCTCTCCAGTCAACTGCTCCCTCTAAACATTCCCTGTTTCATCCACAGGGTGTGATTTGCACTGGTAGCAGAGAACAGGGAGGCTCTTCCATCTGTGCACACAGCTCTGTTCAGTCACACTAAGGGGAAAGGTATCATAGTGAGAAGGTTCTTGATGTGTGCTGGTGGCATCATGGCAGTTTAAACCATGTTAACAGAACCAGTTTTTCCACTGTAGTCTGTAAGTAGTGGACACTGGCATCTGTATGTGTTTTTCTGCCTGGTCTTGCCTCTGTGTTTGCATGCAGCAGCAGTAAGGATAAGCCGTGACCGCAAGGAACATTTAAGGCCACTTTCACAAGCACAGCATTAGCAAGTTGATGACTCCTTAATTACAAGTGTCGCCAATCAAGTAGGTCTGCTCTGATCAAGAAGGAATGTTCAGTTGAGAGGAATTACTGATATGCTCTGATGTGCAAACACATTGTGCATCTATACCTACACGTGATTAGAAAGAGTCACTGAGTATGTTCACCTGCACATTAGTACTGGGATTTTAGAGCAACCTATTAATATTAATATAATATCATATCCTAGATACAGAAATGCAGAGAAGCTTGTGTGCTATGGTTTGTGGTTCAAGTGGACCCAAAGGCAGACACCAGCCAGAGAGAGTGGAAAGTGTTTTTATTACATGGTCAAGGACAGACAGGCATGGAGAACATACAAAGACCGGCAATAACGAACAGAGAGTAGAGGGTGACGTCAGAGGAGCGGTGTAGCAGGACCCACTGGAGATAGGGGCAGGGCCCGACAGGTGAGCAGGGAGCAGATGCCGTACGCAAGGCTACAGTGGAGACAGGCTGTGGGGTAGAAGTGCTAAAAGGAGAGTTTTGTACTTCAGACCACTGACTGTATATAAAAACTGGACAAACCCACCATGACGTCCCATTGGTTTTCTGATGAACAGTTATGAAGCTCTGGCCGCCACCATCTTGTTAGTGCTTCACTCCTCCTGCTACAGCTAATCCAAATTCAAATTCAAATTTTATTTGTATAGCGCCAAATCACAACAAACATCATCTTGATCCACTCGTCCTTGCTCCCTGTGGCCTTTCACCAGTGTCTGGACTCCACAAGCTCAACAGTAAGGTTGTTATTTACGTCGGCGCTAATGACTCCCGACTTCGCCAGTCGGAGGTCACTAAGATTAATGTTGAGTCAGTGTGCAATTTTGCTGAAACAATGTCGGACTCCGTAGTTTTCTCTGGACCCCTACCTAATGTGACCAGTGATGACATGTTTAGCCGCATGTCGTCATTCAACCGCTGGCTGTCTAGGTGGTGCCCAGAAAATAACGTGGGCTTCATAGA